AGACTGTGGGGGCGATATGCTGACTCTGTAAACCGCTTAGAGAGGGCTGAAAGCCCTATGAAGCGGTATATAAGTCTAAGTCTAACTGCTAAAATCCAGTATTAGAAACTCAAGATAAAAATTCTGGAATCCTTTGCTGAGGTATTAAAATCAAGGATTTCAATTATGCACTTTTATCTCTAGGGTGTCTCATGATACTGTTGAGGTGCTAGAAGTGTGGAGGCCTGAAGAGGGAAGAGCACGCTTCAACTTGACCCAAGCAAATTGGACCAATTTGGGTTTTAAGGCACCATAGATGCAGAGATTTACAATCCGTAGCTCTTTGTAGGGTTGCCTTGCCCAAGGCAGAATTGATACACAGTATGGGGATCCTCCAGGAAATGTGGCTGCTACTCAAATGGATAGCAGCCATGGTCAGAAGGGCTTTGGGCATAGATTGTCTTCTATACCAATTGTGTGGTTTCCTGGATTGAAAAGCATTACTAAAGATCACTCGTCCATTGATTGCCTCCTGAATGAATTACTGCAGTGAACTCTACATAGAAAATCAGCTGCAGCAAGCTAGGGGTGCCCCTCAGTAGGCTCATATTGCATTCTGTGAGCTGCACTGATTCCGAGTAGGCATTTCAAGATGTCGTTGCTTCCTATAAAGCTCTTTTTATACCTTTCTCCAATTGTTTACACCCAAGCCACTGGTTTTGTCTGGGTAGGCATGCTGTGAGTTTGATTCATTTGATATTTCATAATCTTTAAAGATTAGGATGTTTCTTGAGGCAAAGTGCCTGAAGATTGAATGAACCTGTCATTGTAATTTTCTTTGGCATGATTGCGGCTATGTGATTGAATTGAAAGAGGTAAGTAAGTAAGATTTTTAGAAACATGCCACTTCATTGGAATCAAGCCCAGTCTACAGCACAGAACATACTCTTATCCACTTAATGAAAAATATACCCAACTCAATTTTTCATTATGGAAAATTTCAGAAGGCAGTCATACTTTTATTTTTTTCATATACGTAGTCCTCAACTTATGATTAGTCACTTAGCGACTGTTCACAGTTACAATGGATCTCTATGGGTCTACTTATGACCTGGATTCAAAATTCTGATGGCCACCCCTACTCCCCTTGGTCAAATTGTTGCATTTTGGATGCCTAGCAACTGACCCACATTTATGCACCATCCTGTGGTCACATGATCATGATTTTCAATTTTTTTTTGAAGGAAAACACATTGACTTGTGCATTCAGACAAAAATGCCCCTTGCAGACAATGGATTTGCTTAATGCCCAGAGTATTTGTTTTAGAACTGCCATATTTGCTTAATGACCACTGCAGAGAAAGTAAAATTGGATGATCTGCTTAACTACCAGCATGACATGATCATAATTTTAGGCTCAATCACAGCCTTAAGTCAAGGAGTATCAGTAGATATGGTTTGTTGTTTTAACAGTATATATTATCAATTGGCATGATTTTATTAAATTAGACAACTTAGATCTTACTGAAAATAGACTGCCTCGTATATGCTTACCCCAAGCAAGGCCCAATTATCCAAGAAAGGGAATTTGACTACTAGAACCTCCAGCATTTTCTTCAAGTTTTTTCTATAAATTGATCCATCAACATTCCTCCGCCAACTATAAAAAATAAAGAGGTTATAGTTTGTTGTTGTATCTAAGGTATATGAAGAAATCTATAATACTAAAATAAAATGAGCTATGATTGTTATCTGGATGAGAAGAGGATACAAATGTAATTATCTAAATATATACTGTATTTATAATATATAATCAAACTGTTACACCAGTCAGATATTCATTATGCACCCCACCCCCCAAAAAGAAGGTATGGGCCTCTGCATAGTAATTAAAAATCATTGTGATAGACTTTTCCGGTATCTCTCATCCTATTCAGCTTCAAATATTTATTCAATAAATCATAAACTAAAAACTTAAGATGAATGTTCTGCTTTTTGATAGTGAGAAAAAGTCCTTTGAAACTACATTCAGCTTCTTATGGCCTACATCAGATCATGAGCATCCAAGGATTTTTTCCCCTCTCCTGTTGCCATGGATACCACACTTAAGCTGCAAAGGTGCTGCTGTCAACACCTAAGGCTGAGAAGTGTGGTGAAAAGAGGAATGTAGTTCACAATACTGATCTGCAGAAAGAAGATGTCTGCTTCTAATCTCTCGATGAGTATAAAACAGGAATTAAAATAAAAACAAAGAAAGCACGTAGAAGTTCCTCACCGTGTCACAACTGGATGAAGGGCATGATTGGGTCCAAATAACCTAAGGATTCCTTGGCCCCTAAGGCCTGTCCTACCCATGGGATTTCTGAAAGAGAAACAATAGTTCTGCTATGAGCAAGGGCCATTGGGATGCTGCTCTTCCCCTGGGAACACCCATCTGGAAACAAACGTTCAAGGAGAGATCAGAGAATGATAAACTAAGGAGTTATTAGTTTGAACCAAGGCTCACTTGTACTTAACACTTGAAGAAAAACCGAATTACTGAGGAAAAGGCATTTGGATTGACTACCATCCAACTAAATGAGTATTATTGGACTGGCCTGCCTTTCCCTAGAATAATCCATTTCTAGATTATCTGCTGAAAGAGAAAGGCTGCCTTCCAATGAAGTATCACAGTGATTATGTCTCTTAGGAATCGGAGGTGTTTCACAAAGCTATGATTTCAGCTCTTTTAACTTGAGAGGTGAAGTTCAGCACCTGTGGCTGTGAGCCTTTTGGTTTGAGGCCACCTCATTATTTCACTAGCCTTATTGTTATGATCTCCTATCAAGCCAAAGGAGGAGAATGTCTGGGTGCAAGTAATATGACTTTCTTTTAAATGCTGGAACAAAATGTACCACACCTATAATTTGACTCTGGTTTTGTTCTGGAATGTGCATAACAAAAGAAGCCATTTGGAAGTCTCTTATTCAGGAAATTGCTCCTTTTCAACTTCCTTTTCAATACTTTGCTCAAGATATTTTGGATCTTGATCAAACTATTGTGAAATTGAAAAGGAGAGCAATTTCCTGAATAAGATACTTCCAAATGGCTTGTTTGTTATCTGCTATAACAGCTGCACTTGAAATGGGATATCAGAGTTCAAGCATAAACATTCAGCACATCCACGATGGGACTCTGTTTGTCTTCTAAATTCCCATGTTAACTAATTTTCCACACAAAGTGGACACAGTAACCAAGATTCCCTCTGTGTTATCAGACTCACAGTGGCAGGCCATCCTTGACAGTGTAAGTGCCATGGAAACTCTGCCTGTTGATATCTCCATCCAGGCTGTTGAAGTTTATTCTTGAAAGGTTCTCCAACTTGCTGGAAGAGAGGAGCAAAACTTTTATCTTTTTAGCATCTTTGGCCAGTAAAATGCAACTTTTAAATTAAAGGACCTGAATGTAACAAAAAATAATCAGTAGAATATTTGTGATAGAAGCAAACGGAAGCAGCAGCTCCATAAAAAAAAACTAGACAATATCCAGGAATAGTGAGAGGAAGCTAGTGATAGGAAGGAGCTATTAGAGCACTTACTCTCTCAGGAACTTCGGTGTAAAATCCTCTTGTGTTTCAGAACTATAGAAGGGCGGATTATAGATATCGAACTCTGTCTGCCAGGGGGAAAAAAAGGCTACTTTAGACTTCAGAATTTTGCATAGCAACATGTACTCTCATTTCAAGTTCAAGGTATTTTGGAGAATTCCAAGTGAAAACTGAAATTCTTTCTGAATTTCCTTAGGCCTAGCAGTCCAGGTATCATATGATACCATATTTTTCCCCTATTGTTGTAGTGTTTGTTGTGCTTGTGTTTTTGTAAGATGAAAATGTGCAGACTTACAATAAAACAAATATGGTTGCTCATGCATGAGTAATAGTTATATGTATATGCATGAAACAAGAAAAAGAAACAAAAGGAAGCAAAATCTACATAAGGCAACACCATTTGCTACACATTTCAATATCTTTTTTTAGCCTTGCTTCAGCCATGTCCATATAGTGTTCATATATTGCTTGTGTTCTTTAAGCTTCTCAACTTACATCTTTCCCTTTTAAAGAATCTCATTAACTCCTTCTGAACTTCCCATTCTTCACACTGTAGTCTGTTGCAATTCAATCCTTAATCATTTTTGCTATAGGATCAAGTTACCTCTATATATTTTTCTAGTCCTTCACTTTTTTATTCAAGCCCTATTAATTCTTGACCCAATCTCTTTTTTTAATCACACCCACTTCTAAAGCATTCCATTCCTAATTCATTCAATTAATTTTATATTTTTCCTAACATATTCAACTTTCAATTCCAAATAACAAAGTGTGGGGAGAGGCACACTCTTTACACAAACATTTTTACTTCTTTCAGCAAGCATTATTTCCTCACTATAAACAGATACTATCCATTATTTTTCTATCAGCATTTGAANAGATAGATAGATAAAGACAGACAGACTGACAGACAGACACACAGAGACAGAGAGAAGACAGAAAGGCTGGTATCATTCATAGGATAGGGCAGTTTCTTATTAATCTAAAGAATTAATCTCATAAAGGTGTATAGTAGTAAATTTTGAAAAAGTACCATTCCTTCTGGAAAAGATGTTGGTGGTACTATTATCTTAGTATAGAAAATACCTTTATGCCCTAGTATAGAAGGAATTTTTCTGTTTCTGATGTGTATTGTGAGATTAAGGAGTTTTTATAGTGTTTTACAACACATGGATAAAATCAACCCCAATTTTAACTGGGAACTGTTAACATTTTATATCAAGGCAAATCCAAAAGTGCTTATATACTATTTAAAAGACAATCAGAAACCTAGGGAGGAAAGAAACAGTCCAGACCGTATCTCCTCCAGCGGCCAACACACAAATAAGTTGAGAACAATACCAGATAAATGATCAGGGAAGAAATAATACCCTAATCCCGGAACTATCAAAGAAGAAACACATCCCCAACAAAACAGCAGAGCAAGCTACTATATTTAAATAGCCAGCCACTCCACTCTCCTTCACACTAATGATGTTACCTAACCTGATTAATGAAAAGTTGACAAAAAAGCAACCAAGCTAGCACAAAGACCCAAATCCTATCTATATACATTCTCCTATATTGGTTAAATCATTGTTTGATTACAGGCTTGTGAAAAATAGATTAAAAAGTCTACTTTGCTAAATATTCGGAACCTTACACAATATGGTTACATCAGTTGCATACATACATTCTCCCTAATATCAATAAATATAATGTGCACGACCCATGCTTTGTCTTTGGTAAACTGCAAAATACTGCAAAAGTTTGCAAAATGCAAACATTCTGTATTGTTAAAAAGTAGTCTTAAAAAACATGATTCATCCTATATTGTGTCCCCATTTATACACTATATAACCCCAGTGCAATTCTCTATTACTGTCATGCCTTTGGGAAAAGTGGTGAACAATTCTATATGACTCATCTCTGTTTTTAATCAAGCCACAGCTGGATGGCCAAATACCTCTGTTCCTTGATTCAGCAGTTTCTGAAATTGCGGCCAGAACTCTCGTCTCAGGACCTGTTTTATTTTTTGTGGCAATGCTTCCCCAGGTTCAAGAGAGCCCTGGAAAGAATGAAAGCATTATTTAGTGTAAGACGCAGCTAACACTTTACACATTCTATTAACTGTAATGCTATAGAAAATAGAAATTTCCATTCAGTTGGCAGTTTTTGTAATGGGTGACTCTAATAAACTTAATACAATGATAAATCTCTGAGGTGCAGGTAAGTTGATTCCTTAGCTAACATCTTGGCGAAAAGTAAAATGCAGTTCAGCGGTTCTAATCTCACTGGCTCAAGGTTGACTCAGCCTTCCATCCTTCCGAGGTGGGTGAAATGAGGACCCAGACTGTGGGGGCG